TCCAGATAATGAACTAAACGTGTGAAAGTTAAATTAATTCATAAAGAATACATTAACATATAATCACTGTGCTCAAATATCGTTAGCCTTGTGTTTCCTGACAGCAGAATAACATTTCAAATCAGTGTTTCTTATGTTCCGTCACTCAAACACTGGAGACGCTTCCTGAAGTTTGGCAAATCAGAGGAAAGTAAAGAAAGTTATTTACATGCTAACATACATGATCATGCTAACATACATGATCATGTTTGCAAGTTGTTCAACTCTTTCTCTAATGGAGCAACAGCTCCACCTGCTGGTTGTCCTCAACCAGACGTAAAGCTTCGTGCTTCGTCGTAAACAAACTCATTTATGTCATGTGAAATGCGCATGTTGGTGTGGGAGGAGCCTCTGTGACGTGTGAACAGCTCGTTCATCTTTATTCATCCATTCATTTCTATCAGCGACGTCACGAACATGTGATGGTCAAGAAAACAAAACGGGTCGCTGCGAGCAGGGTTCGAACCTGCGCGGGAAGATCCCATTGGATTTCAAGTCCAACGCCTTAACCACTCGGCCATCGCAGCTGGCGCCAATATGTCGGGATTTGCAGCCATATGAACACATGCATGTAGAGAGATATGAACACATGCATGTAGAGAGATATGAACACATACATGTAGAATCACATGTGGAGGCCTCAGGCCTCAGTCTAACCCTGAAGAAGAAAACACTTCGTACTCACAGGCGGTCCTCTACTGCCCCCTACTGGAGAAGAGTCGTACTGACAGATCCAACGTGAAAAACACTGAAAACTGCTCCTCCACCATCCAACCACCAGGCGGCGCAAGAGCTCCTACCTGACGTCTGATTGGATGAGGTGTGAGTATGGAGAGTGGTGATTGGTCAGGGTTCGTGGAGTATTAGACTAAACCAATCACAGGCCATGTAGGGGCGGGTCTACTTCTTCTTCTGTGGCTCAGTGCTGCCCCCAGTGGTCAGTCACAGGGACATACCACCTGTTTATAGTATAATATTATGAATGAATGAATAACAGGAGAACTTTATGATCAAATCAATATTATACTGTACAGGAACCTATATAACGTCACTTCCCTGGAGTGAGTGCACTCTGAGGGGATGTAGCTCAGTGGTAGAGCGCATGCTTCGCATGTATGAGGTCCCGGGTTCAATCCCCGGCATCTCCACTCTTTTCTCACCGGGTCATCGTGTTTCATTCCGTGCTTTTATTCTGACATTCAGATACAGAATCTATACAGATCAATAATACTTTGGAAATTGTACGATTTTATTACTTACTTAGAAAAGTTGAAACCACAGTGAGTTTAGATGTGAGGTTACAGATTTACTATTTGTGTTGATTGGTGAAATGTAGATAAACTTGTTGATTTGTATATAAATATTGTTTGTGTGAAAAAACAACCTTATAACCACTAAACTATAGAACCCATAACCTCAGTCTACCACGCCTCTGTCATCACATATAAATATATATATATAAATATATATATATATTTATGACGGTCTTTATATACACTCAGTGATCCTCTTCATATACAGTTAATCACTTTGATTTCAAAGGATTTATTGATCAGTAATATTTAGTTACAGAATATAAATCCTTAATAATGAGGTCATAGACAGTGATGCTGTAGCTTTAAATAATACACGTGATAATACATCACATTAAAAAATACATTTTACAGTAAATGGTTTCCGCAGTAACACGGATCAGCAGGTTCGACCGGAGGTTCAGGTTCAGTTATGATGAAGAGAAGCTAAAGGCTCTGACGATCATCGATTCATTTTCTTCTTTCAAAGTCTCTCCTCTCTTCCTCCTTGTTGCTCATCTCGCTCCCTCCCTCCCTCCCTCCCTCCCTCCCTCGCTCCCTCCCTCGCTCTCTAGCTGACGGGATCCACCACCAGGACTTTACATTCCCTCTTAGCGATCTTGTCCAGTGACAGCAGCGATTTGTCCTGTGGTGGCAGGTAGAGCGGTCGACCAACCGGAGAGCCGACAGGTGGGGTGATGGCCCGTCGCTCCATGGCGCTGCCCGTCCTGAAGAAGAACAGCGCATGAGGGCGTGGTCACATGATGACAGTAAATATGACTGAACTGAGTTTTACCTCATGATGTGGGATCGAGATGGTTGCTGGTGGGAGAAGGACTGAGATCGACCCAGACTCGCCTGGTGACGGTCCAACAGGTCTCGAACCGCCGGACTGGACGGGCTGTTCTTACCTGAGGGGGGAGGGTATGAAGCCACATGATGTTTACACTGAGGAAAATTCAGTTGTAGTCATGGAGACAGCACAGATGGAGACAACTGCAACCATGGCAACAATACACAACTAGGCTGGAGACAGATGGAAAATCAAGAAATATCAAATGACCTTAAATGTGAAAAGAATGAAATGAAACGTTCTGTCTGACGCTCGATGTCACTCATCGACCCTGAAGCTGATCCAGTCAAGAGGCTTCTGGTTTTAAAAGACCGAAGAATCTGAACAAACAAGAAAGGTTCTTACGTGACAGAGGCCGAGCGTCTGGAGGAGGGTTAGAGACCGAAGCTGTGAACTGAAGCTTCAGCTTCATGTGCTGACTGAGCTGCAGAGAGGAGGAGGAGGAGCAAGAGGAGCAGGAGGAGGACGAAGAGGAAGAGGAGGAAGAGGAGGAAGAACAGTGTGTAAAACAATTTTATTTGACACAGTCCATGCTTTAAAGAGGCGGAGCTTCAGTACCTCGTACAGTCCTGGTCGGAGGATCTGGAATGAAACACTGAACGACAAAGTTCTTCCTTTACGACAGTGACCGAGGTTACTGAGAGGAGAGTGACACACCACAGCTGCTAGAGAGGCATCGTCGCCATGACCGCGACCTGCACACACACACACACACACACACACCCACACACACACATGCACAGTAAATCATTTTTAGTTTGAGATGAATCTTTTGTGTTAACATCAACGTGGCGCTCGTGAATCAAATGTGGAACACACACTGACCCTCTGGGGTCCAGACGAGTCGTACAGCCAGGAAGTCCTGAAGGTTGTTGAGCAGAACATATTTGACCTTGAAGTTCTCCTTCACTCGGACCGTGCTCGGACAACTCGCCGTCATGACGAACCGTGGTCGGTCCAGACGGACACTGGGCAGCCTGACAGGGGTAAACACTGTGCTTTTACTTTGAAGACAAATTGTCAAACAGGATTGAATGTTCCTGATCTGGTGGGACCACAACTGTAGTTCATCTGAGGACCTAGAAGAAGACATGTTCAACTGGCTGTACAGACTGAGGACACACTGCCCCGCCCCACAGAGCTCATTTTTATTAATATTGAATGAATCACATCATCAAACCAACTTCAACACTGAACTTGACAGGATCTCTGCAATCAGTCGGAAGTATATATCTCACTTTAGCATCTTATAATGTTTTAATATTTTATTATAATGTTGTTGTTTTTTTTGCACTAGTACTGACATTTGTACTTATTGTTTCATTTGCACTAGGTTATGTTATTTGTATTTTAGTTACTCTTATTTTATGACACTTGCATGTTGAGTTGCTTGAGGTGCCTGAGATTTAAGATTTTCATTGCAGCTGTATCTGTTGTGCAGATGACAAATAAAACCTTTGAAACTTTGAAGACGATTAACAACAATCTGCTTTGTCTGAAATTACTCCTGATTGGTCTTTACCTGTAGTGGGTGTAGATACAATTGGTGAAAGGCATCTTGGGAGTTGACCACTGCAACACAGCGACCAGGGGAACCTCCAGCCCCTGAAATACATCAACATGATGACATAGTGACCTGAAGAGGGCGCTGATACCAACAACAACTTACAGACCATAATAAACAGTACAAACGTGTCCACACCTCGTTGGAGTCGTCCTGCCCCATGTCGTTGAGGTGCAGCTGGAACAAGAAGTCGTGCTCTTCTAAAGCGCTGAGCATGCTGGGAAGGCGGCAAGCCAGGCTGTCCACCCTGCAGAAAGACGCCATGCCGACCTCCCCTGACTGGTGGCTGAGCAGAGGACACCACATGAAGAGGGTCATTTCAATTCAAACATAAAAAAACAATCCGTCCATCACTGGATCGAACGTATTCCTGACGAGTCACTGTGATCGGCTGGTTGACACGATGACATCATCACATCAGTAATGAAGTAAGTTGTGTACATCAAGTCACATAATATAAACAAATACAAAGACACATTGTATCTCAACGTGTGACGTATTTAAATAAACAACGCACCACACATTGTCCACAAGCAGGACGGAGCCGTCTGGCATCATGGGAAGGTAGGAGGCGTTCAGGTTCGGCAAAATGCGAACATCCCGAATACTCACCTCCTCCTGAGAAGACTCATTCAGCACTGTGGGGTATAAATAAAGTTAAACTTAAACTTTTATAAATTTAAAACCATTCGAATAAACAACAAATAAACGAATGATTATCATCAAACCTGTCGTTTGGTTTCTTTGTCTCTTTAAATGTAATGAACTCACTGAGGGATCAGACTAATTCCTGCCTCTTCCTCTGTTCTCCATCACACCAGGAGCAAACAGAAAGACTGAACAAAGAACGATCTCGTACCTTTGAGGACAGCGAGGTGTCTCCCGGAGACGGTCATCTGTTTGCAGCGGATGGTTGGCGGCGGCAGGACGGTCAGAGTGGTGCTCACTGTGGAGGATGAGGACGAGGGTCAACACTGAGGTCAGAGGTTAAACTGAAAGTGTATGAATGTGTGTGTGTTGTACCCTGAGCCTTGAACGTGTTCAGGTCGTGTCTGAAGGTCTGTGTCGGTTCTCGCTGCTGCAGGACGCTCAGGTAACCAAGTTCCTGCACCTCCGCTTTCTCTGCCTCCTTCTTCCAAACCGTGACCATCACCTGAACAAACCAACACTGAGTCATATATATCTATATATATATATCTATATATATAGACATATATACATATATCTATATATATACATATATGAGAGATATTTTAGCTTCATCTCGATGTGTCGTCATCTTTATTTAGAGTCTCGAGCTTCTCTCCAAACAATATAGATCCTAAAGCAGACAGTGAAGTTCTGACCTTGACTTTCAACGTGCTGACAGGAAGTTTGTCCAGAGAGACGGTGAGAGGGAAGATCACTTCATCCGTCAGAACCACCGGCTCGTCCAGCGGAGACTGACGTGAAGACACAGACGAGGTTCAAACATCACCAATCAATACAAATCAGCAGAGGGCGACGCTGAGCACGTGTACAGTCTTGTGTAGCTCGTTAGCATGCTAACTATTATTATTGCTAGTTATTTGCACAAAACACAACAGCCGAGGCTGATGAGAAAATCTTTAGCTTTGCAGATGTTGAGTCAAAAACATGAAATGTTGTTACAGTTCATCCTGAATTCAAACTTTGACCTGCAGGGGGCGCTACAGTGGAAAGGTCACCAACATTATGAGGGTTCACCATTTTTGACTGACAAAGTTTTTACAGTGTTTCCTCTTTAGTTGCTCACTAGCTCCCCCACCCTCTGTAAACCTGAACCACAACACCTCAGCACCTGAACAGGCGCCCTGCGGAACTCCCTGTACGCCGTCCCTGACGAGTTGTGGATGAGCAGAGGTTTGCAGTCTCTGAAGCTACGACACCGGGAGTCCACCCTGCTGCCTAGTGCCGCGATGGCCGCCTCCGCTGCTGCGATGTAGTCCTCCTCGCCGTCTTCATTTGCCTCGTCCCCGCTGCTCTGGTAGTCATGGAGATGCTGGTGGTGGTTGCCTCGGTGGCGGTTGCTCTCACCTGGACTCACACTGGCCACAGCGCACAGAGAGCCGGCGAGCTCTCTCCACGCTCGGCTGCTGGCCGACTCCGTCCCGAAACCTGCAGCAGCATCATCACCGCCCCCTGGTGGTGGAGGAACATAATAAATACACACATGTTGACGTTACACATTGGTTTGTTCTTTGAATCCAGAATGAACCATATTTAGAGGGGGTGGAGCCTGACTCAACTACTCTGCCCTCTGCTGGTCATACTTGAGCATGGCTTCACTTTGCAGACTTCAAGTCAGTGGTAAAAACTCCTCTCTCACCTCCTCAGTGCTCCTGGTTATCATCTGGAGCAGCTGACCAATCACAACAGAGTAAACCCGCTGACCAATCAGAGCAGACTGGGCTTTATCAGGAGGGGGGTCTTAAAGAGACAGGAGCTAAAACCAGGTGTTTGAGACAGAGGCTGAAGAGAGGAGCTGCAGCGATGGACAGAACGAGGACAGAGATGTTTTCACCTACTGGATTAAAAAGGTGGATATACGTCCTCGTATGATAATAAATGAGATAAGATTTATTCATTCATCACACGTTACAGCAGCAGAGCGTCACTATGTGAATAGAATCTTCATAAAAACTGAAAACACTGATTCTCTGTCTGAACATTGAACGTTACAGTCAAAATAACAGGAGCATCTTCCTCCTCCCTCTCATCCGGATGAAGATGATGAAGATGATGGTGGAGGTTTTACCGGGGCCGGGCTCGGTCGGTGTCGCCCCCGCGTCCCTGCAGCGCAGCACCAGCAGGAATCGAACCGTCTCCCCCAGGTACAGGTGGCTCCGGCGGGGCAGGCTGCGGTACCGAGCCGGGTCCGACAGATCCGTGATGGGCACCGCAGGGAAATACATGAAGTACTCGCACTGAGACTCCATCATCTGCACCATGGTGATGGAGGAGCTGGACCCGCTGGACCACAGTCACACAAAGACACACACTTCCTCTTTCACAATAAAAGCACGGGCTGGCTCACACATAGACTATCGCGCCCCCCAGTGGTCACATGCAGGTAGTACAGTGAATTATTTTATTCTCTGATCAGTGTTTAATGACAGTTGATATAAAACTGACCAAAGGTTTACGAATTATCATCTTCAGAATTATCATCAAGTGCTTTAATGTCAGGACAAAAATAAAGGAGGACGTTACTGTTAGAGACAAAACTGCGAGGGACAGAAAACAACAAACCGTCCATGGTAGAAAGAACTGAACTAAAGTCAGGTCTTTAAAAGTCTTTTGTTGCTCAACTAAAACTAACACGTGACTGACGAGTGTTTTCGTGATTCAGAGGGAAAAATATTTTAAAAACTGATGTAGTGTTGGAGCCGCTGTATTACATCATGGGAGTGTTGTCTGATGAAGTACAATGAAGTATAATGTAGAAGTATAATGAGAGAATAAAGAACCTGATGATTACATTTCATGTTAGGAAAGATGTTTGGAAAGTAAGAATATTTAAAACTACCACGATGACAGAGTCATACAGACTTAATCAAAATTAGACCACATCCAACTTCAGGGTTTTGTAACAGCTTTGAATTATTCTCACGATTGGATATTTTCTGTGTCGTCTTTTTCTGTTTACAAATCTTTTGTTTGTCGTCATTTATTTAGAATTTCAGGCGAAGTGTAAACTGTTCTTCTGTGTGTTTCATACTTTGTTTCAATGTGAAATTTACAAATTAAGAAAAAAGTTTTCTCAGTTTATTATTTCTAATGTATGTAAATGTCTGATTTAAATCTCTAATACAATCAAATATGTGTGTTAATGATGAAGAGAAGGTTTGTGGTGATAACTACTGGTTAATAATGAATAAACTACAAATACTTAGTTAATAGTTTTTACCTTGTTCATCTGTGGTGACTCGTTTTAAAAGAGCAAAGAGACGGAGTGCTGTGATTGGCTGAAGTAGCTGCCCCAGTTTGTACGCTCTCTCCTCGCCGCCATTATTTCAGGGAAAAGAGCGTGGAAGTTATTGTAAAGTTGCTGAAAGTTAAGTTAGCTTTAGAGCTAGCTTGTTTTTATGATCAGATGTTTTCTTGAGATTTAATCAGAGAAACAGACTAACTGTCATTTACAGATTTAAAGCACCAAGGCTCCTATGAACCGACTGTAGTTCAATGTGAAGTTTGTCTGCTGCTGGTCAGTGGTCATGGAACTTCACCAAGTACTGAACTACTGCAGGTTCATCACTGTTTTCGGTCCCTGGAAACATTTCCGTTGTCGTTTTTGCTTTTGGCAGATGAATCTGATTTATAATAATTATAATAATAATACATTTTATTTGTAGAACGCTGGTCAAGAAACTTAAAGACACTTTCCATAGAATTTAAAAGAAAGTTACACTAAATAATCTGATGTCACTGCTCATTAAGGGACATGTTTCCTTAGTTGACAGGTTGTTTGTCAGCAGCTGATACTCAGGGGTGTTACAACAATTAGACCCTGTCCCCTGACGTCTCATTTAGACACATTAAATATTCAAAACCTAATTCTTTCAGTAAATATTGACATGATTAATGATTCCTCTGGGTGATCATCAGAGGGAGTATGTGCACATCCATGGAGAGAAAAGTTTAACAAGCACAAACAAAGTCTACAGCAAACAGAGAAAACTTAACTTCAGTCTTCAATGTCTAAAACTTGTAAATCTGAAACTGTGCTTGTCCAAGTTTAAAGACTTTAAAGAATGAAGGTGTTTTCTAAAGTTTGGCTGCAACAGAACGTCTCCACTGTTCGTTCTCTCATCTCTGCATCTAGCGAACTTCACACAGCCATGATTCCCTGAGGTCTGACTAATGTAGAGTACATTACAATAGTCCAGACGGGAAAAGAAAAAGGAATGAGCTTTTCTAAGTCACGGAGAGAGAACTGATCTAAGTTAGGAAATATTCCGTAGGTGGAAGAATTGAAAGATTTCATTAACGTGTGTTTAAAATTCAGTTTGGAATCGAACGTGACACCAAGATGTTTAGCTGTTGTTTTTATATTGGCCACAGAGAAATGGTAGAAGTTTGTCTGCTCGCTGATCAGGACCGAAGATTATTATTTCTGTTTTGTTTGAATTTAGCTGAAGGAAGTTAAATGACATCTTTGATGGCAGCGTGGCTTTCTGTCAGGACGTCTCT